CACGACACAGGGTTTTTAAATGCACATCTCACGTATGATTTGATTAACTACACAAATAACTTCCCAAATAGTAAGGTGTTGACTTTTGGAAAACACAACACCTTCCACCATAGGATCGGTATAATGATGCTGGGGTTAGAGCATTTTTCCATATCATCAGACTTAAATGAACCCAACTCATCTGAATTAAACAAAATGAAATGGACTAACTTTGTGTTTTCATAGCTGTTGTATCCCACCATTCTATATTTCCAAAGAACTACATTTCACCAGCCACTTTATCTTAAGTGTAATAGCAGCATACAACAAATTAGGAAAAAAATTAGTTATAGTAAAATTGTTGACAACTTTAATCTTTTTTATTGTTAAACTCTCTCACCACAAGCGTTCGAGTTAAAAGTAAAGCATAATTAGTGAATAACTGAAAAAGATTACATGCATTAGTATATTGCAAAAGCCGCGAAATAGCAGCCTTTCCATATAAGTTACAAGTAACTACACTTTTAAAATTTAATGTGGACAAGGAAAGGTAATATGAATCATTATTTCTTGTTTGAAAACCATTAGTAATTGTAATGTTAATATCTGAATAATGAGCATCATAAGTAAGTAAGTGGGTTCCTCGTCATCAAATTCAAAATCCTAATTAAGTGTAATGTTAAGGTCCAAATAACATATACATTACAAACTGTAACGGTAAAATCCAAATAATGTAGGCCTTTACTAACGGTAACGGTAAGAACCAGATAATGTAGGCCTATGCTAACTGTAACGGTAAGATCCAGATAATGTAGGCCTATGCTAACTGTAATGTTAAGGTCCAAGTAAGATTTGGTAAGATCCAAATATTGCACGCCTATGCTAACTGTAATGTTAAGAACCAAATAGCGTGTATCGTTTTTATTAGCTGTAGTGATGAGATCGAGATAATATGTACTTTTATTATTTGTAACGGTAGGATCCAACTAGTGTACGTCATTATAAATTATGTTAATTTGACAGAAGCAGTACATTAAACTGAATACGCAAAGGTTGGCTTATTACTGGTGTTTATGTGTAGTATTGAACCCAGCTTATTAATACAATGTAAGTAGGCCTAGCATGGCCAGGTAGTTAGGGCGCTCGACTCACAATCTTCGATCCACACCCTACCAAACATGCTCGCCCTTTCAGCCGTGGGGGCGTTATTATGCTACGACCAATCCCACTATTCGTTGGCAAATGAGTAGCCCAAAACTTAGTAGTGGGTTGTGATGTCAAGCTGCCTTTAACTACTAAATTAGGGATGACTAGCACAGATAGCCCTCGTGTAGCTTTACGCGACATTCAAACCATATAAATAATTATCATATTCTCTTCTATGCGGATAAACAGTATATAAACGACCATATGACAATACTGAACCAGGACATTCAAACCATATAAATAATTATCATATTCTCTTCTATGCAGATAAACAGCATATAAACGACCATATGACAATGCTGAACCAGGACATTCAAACCATATAAATAATTATCATATTATCTTCTATGCGGATAAACAGTATATAAACGACCACATGACAATACTGAACCAGGAACCTGATACTTTACTGAATACTATATTAATTTATAAAATCAATGGAATTAAAAATGTAGAATATGGTGCAAGTCACACGCACATGGCTGGTTAGCTACGGTTCTGAGCTCAAATATATCACAAATCTTTGTCATTCCAAATTTTTTAAACACTGACAAGATCTCCTTGACTTCTTTTATTATTTTGAGCAAAATTTGGCAGCAATAATAACGTTGTTACTGTGTAGTTTGTGAACAATAGTTCGTTATTTCGGCTTTAATTTATGACTAATAATTATACACTTCAATGGATATTCAATCAGAGAAATTCTATAGCTATTCCCTATTAAAAACAAATAACGTTTTAAGCATTATCCATCTCTCTTTTTTCCGGCGAAACTAGAGTCGTCTAAAACGGTCATTGGCTTTCGTTAAGAACCTGAAAGGTATTGAACCTTATACTTTAAACGGCTCATTTGCTTAGTGTTTTATAAGAAATAGTTCTACGTCGTATAGTGCCAATTGAATTGAAAATCTCATTTTCAAATGTGAGAAAAAGATACTTGCCAAACGAGTTTCGTTACTTGGTATTTTTTTATCATTTGTTTTTATAACAAATATACCAGACCATTTCCTTTTGTTATCAACTACGTTAGAAAATATTCTGTAAGTTTTGTTTACTTCAAATGTATCGCAACGCTAAAATGCTTATAATACAAATATGTATGAATATTACTTCGTGTATTTCATTATTTTTACGAACTTAAAATTTATTGCTTCAGGAACGGTACTTTTGTTGGTACCTGTGGTACGATATCGAAAAGAAATTATCTTAATAGTGTAACTTTCAGTCATTAATGGACATTTATATTCTAAGTCCTTGCAAGCAAGAAATCTTACATATAAACAGTTATAGTAGCCTAGGAAGTGTCAGAACTAGCACCTCGCGGAATTCGAACACTCGCTCATCAAGATTAATTAAAAAGTGCCTTACGTAAACTTCACAGTTGGGTTTATTTATTAATTTCAGATAATAAAATAAATGCAGATAAGTATTTTAAAAAGGCTTAGTTTTCGTGATCTGTTCGACAGAAAGGTTGAATTGACATCTCCCAGAATTCTACTCAGTTAAACTTCAATGTTCTCTATAGATGAATAACATAAACTTCAATGTTCTCTATAGATGAATAACATAAACTTCAATGTTCTCTATAGATGAATAACATGAACTTCAATGTTCTTTATAGATGAATAACATAAACTTCAATGTTCTCTATAGATGAATAACATAAACTTCAATGTTCTCTATAGATGAATAACATAAACTTCAATGTTCTTTATAGATGAATAACATAAACTTCAATGTTCTCTATAGATGAATAACATAAACTTCAATGTTTTCTATAGATGAATAACATAAACTTCAACGTTCCCTATAGATGAATAACATAAACTTCAATGTTCTCTATAGATGAATAACATAAACTTCAACGTTCTTTATAGATGAATAACATAAACTTTAATGTTCTTTATAGATGAATAACATAAACTTCAATGTTCTCTATAGATGAATAACATAAAATGTAAATGTTTTTCAACAGCTTGATAAAGTAAATGAAATTTCTTCAAACTGTTTCCGAAAAAAAACAAGTATGAAGTTGTATATATATATATATATGTTACGAACCGTATAAACATTCGTACAATCTGTAACAAACCGTATAAACTTTTACATAATCAGTATAAACATTCGTACAATCTGTAACAAACCGTACGAAGTTGTATATATATGTTACAAAACAATATATACAACTTCGTACGGTTTGTTACAGATCGTACGAATGTTTATACTGATTATGTAAAAGTTTATACGGTTTGTTACAGATTGTACGAATGTTTATACTGTTACAAACCGTATAGACATTCGTACAATCTGTAACAAACCGTATAACCTTTACATAATATGTTACAAACCGTATAAACTTTCATTTAATCTGTGACAAACCGTATAAAATTTCATATAATATGTGACAAACCTTATAAACTATTATATAGTGTGTGATAAACCCTATAAACTTTCATATAATGTATAACAGGCCATTACTATACAAGTTTCGTTCGAAAAAAAAAATACCGGTGAAGAAACACAGTAGTTTGCTTAATTATATGTCAGCAGAAAGTTTGAAGGCTTATAACGTTAAAACCCAGGCTTCGATACCTGTGTCGGGCACAGCACAATAACCCTTTGTGCTTAAGTACAAATAAACTTATATAATATAGTTATATATATCTTCTCAGCGCTTCTGATGGTACATACAACAAATTATATATATTTTAGGGTGTATGTGAATGCGTCAATTATAAGTCGAGTTTCTTAATTTGTGACTCGTTTATTTTTGGGTCCTACGTGATTTCCTGGTATTATGAAGTATAGTACGATTATATTTGAATCTGTTGTTGTTCTTTTAAGTTAACGTACTCTGAAAGCACTTTCATAAGCCTTATTAAAATTAAATTTCTTACTGTTATCTGTATTAATAAAAATGACTCGACAAACGACTAAAACAAAGAGAGTTGTTACAAAGATGAAGTAGTTAATATGGGTGAATAACCATGCCTAAAACGTTTTCAAATGTCATCAATCAGCATAGTGATACACAAAGTTCGGATTGTCTAATACTGGTGCCCTCTGATGATAGTTGATTGAATAAAATCATAGTACCACTGTTTGAAGCCATTAAAGCTAAAACCTGTATATTTATTCAATTCCTAAAAATAAATTATTTTTATTTAACTAGTAGTGAAATAGCTGTTTCTATACTTCTCCTTAGTGAGTATACGTGGCCTGCTGCTTAACGCGCCCGGACTGTAAATCTGAGGATTCACAATTCGTAATTTGTTGCTGTAAAAGCACGCTCGCACTTCGGTGCATTTACTGCCCTATAATAGTAGTGACGGTCAAATACCACTATTCGATTACACAATAGTAGTACAAGTCTTGGCGGTGGATGGTCTCCGCTAGCCATATTCCCTTTAGACTATCAGTTCAAAATTAGATAGTTAGTCTTTGTGTAGTTTTGCGCGAAATTCTGACTCTAAAAAACAAAACTCTTCGACATAAAATGTGTCTCCATAATTTTCAAAAGGATTCGTTGAGTTGCACATGTGTTATAATATGGTTTGTTTATTTAGGCTTTCTGTTGATGTCTACATAAATTAGATGCCAGCTGTATTATAAACAGCCTTACGTTACACAACAACACTGTCTGTGTCTCATCTTAACAAGAACCAATCGTTCCCGATGGCTAATTAATGAAGTTCATTTCCAATTAATTCAACTCTTTTTGGTTGATTAATGAAGTCCATTCCCAATAAATCCAACTCCTTTTAGAAAAGCAGAATTATTTCGGTAATATTAGGTACAGCAACATTAGCGCTTACCTGTGACAGTTAGTGTTTCTGGAGTCCAGTTGGGACCGTACAAAAGCAGTGGAATATGGATGTCCTGGTTTTCTTACTTCCTGTAATTACAATTCTACAACCAGTCGGATCTTCTTAGTAAAGTGTTTCCGGGATTATTGTTTCTTAGTTGATTTCAACATAAATTCCCTTCCTATTCTTTCTTGAATACAAGAAACAATTTCTTTTCTTTCATCCGTATCGTGCAACACGTCCTAAACACTATCTCCCACCTAGCCTATACTGAATAACGTTCATATACAATACATAATTTACCCGGTCAACACACTCTTAGAGTCTCTCCAAGTGTGGCTGTTCTGCTGAGTTGTATATTATATACAACCCGGTCTTCTTCCCTCAGTTGAAGATATATTTCCACGTCATTAGCCAGTCAAGTGAAACATTAATCACGTGAATGGACAGTAGCGTGTCTGTTGGTAGATGTGAACTTATGCATAAAAGAATGTATAGGCTTGACGAAAGATAACTAACGTCGCTTCGTTACTCAAACTAGGCCACATTCTTATGCCATAGTTTTTAAATTAAAATTATTTCACTGAGATAGACAGCTGGTTAGGCAGATCCACTTATGTACCTGTCTTTCAGCAATTCCTACATTCTCTCGATAATTCAAAGAGCAACTTAAAAAACAAACAAACAAAAAACTGATGTAAGCTTAATTTTCCGAGAGGATGAGCAACATATTAAAACTGAATATATTTCACAATGATAAGCAAGCCTAAATGGATTTTGAGCGAAAAACATACATTTGTTAAGATTTACTGGTCAGAGTAGTGGTTCTAAACCAAGTTAGGTAGATACTTCTCGTCACTCTTCTTTTATAAAACCTTTTCATACACTTTATCGGTTGTAAAAACATCTCATCTGTTCATGTGGTAAAACATGTCGGATATCTTGTAATCCCAGTAAAGTATAAAGATAGTAAAGCTTTTGCTGATGCAGTACTCTCACACAGTAAAGTAAGTTGTGAAAGCAGGATTTTCTCAAGAAAGTCAGGTACGTTGTGATGACAGTAGTTTCTCAAGAAAGTCAGATATGTTGTGATAGCAGGACTTTCTCAAGAAAGTCAGGTATGTTGTGACAGCAGGACTTTCTCAAGAAGGTCAGGTATGATGTGATGACAGTTGTTTCTCAAGAAAGCCAGGTATGTTGTGATGACAGTAGTTTCTCAAGAAAGTCAGGTATGTTGTGATAGAAGTACCTTCTCAAGAAAGTCAGGTATGTTGTGATAGAAGTACCTTCTCAAGAATGTCAGGTATGTTGTGATAGAAGTACCTTCTCAAGAAAGTCAGGTATGTTGTGATGACAGTTGTTTCTCAAGAAAGTCAGGTATGTTGTGATGGCAGGACTTTCTCAAGAAAGTCAGGTATGTTGTGATAGAAGTACCTTCTCAAGAAAGTCAGGTATGTTTGGTTGAAGTGTGTTAAGTGTGATGTGGTGGCAGTGATGTCTATAGAATGTCAGGTAAGTTGTGGTGGTATTATTTTTACAACAGCCAGTTAAGTTGTGGTGGTATTTTTTATTTTTTTTTGCAAAACAATCAAGTACAGCATTTCTCTCTGCTCAAAATCACTTTGCAAAATATGGTCTAACTTACATAATTAAAATATATTTTAGTTTGCTACAAGCTTCGTGATAATGAGGATTATTACAGATGTAAATCTGTTGGTGTTGGTTTAAAGACTTTAGGAAGAGTGACCCAAATTACTTACAAAACATTAAACCCATCCTAATATAACACCAGTTGTATGCAGTGTTTATTTGGTTTTTAGTTACTGTAACAAAAAGTTGGGTATTCTGGAATAAAGAGATGTTTCAATATAAATATTTTTAGTTAAAGGCGTAAGTTGGAGTTTGGGAATTTTAGAATATTTTGTGAACAGAAAGGAGGAGAAAAACACTTTAAACCAACGTCTAGCTAGATATACAAACTACATGCACGACACATAAAGTTTAGGTCAAAGATCAGGGACTATACGCTGTGTTTATACCAGTCTATATTCCTAAGACTAATGGCTTTACTTTAAGTAGCACTGTCTCATATGTATTTAACACAATGTTATATATGCATCATCTAAAGTTGAATTGAATTGATAAGGCGGCTATTATTTCTAAAGTGCAAGAAGTCGTAGAATATCTTTTTACCGAGTACGTAAGTTTGAAATCACTGAAAATAGCTGTTTCACACGTTTTCGCTGATACAAATTTGCGAATATATGGTGATGTTAAGGGGTCTTAGGTCGAGACAGGTTTTTATTGTTGTGCCTATTTCATTTTACGCATCAGTAGTTTCTCTTAAGAAGAATATATATTGACAGCTGATGGAGACTAGCCAGCTGAACAATCGTTATAAATGTAGGCCAATATCCAATTACTGGCGCCAGTCTAAACTAATTAACATCCAAACTATCTCAAATACTTCTTTTGTTGTGGTAGATATTAACATAAAATAGTCTTACGATAGCAATGTTTAGGAATAAACACTTTTACTAGCAATTTTCTGATTCTTATCTTAACTAATAGTGTTTTACAGTCACGTTATTTATGTAACAAAAATCATGGTTTCCAAAATTCTCACGTTATATTATCATACAAAAGCTAAGAACGCTAGACACTACTAAGGGTCTGCGAATTCTTACTGTAGAGCAATAACGGTTCAAAGTAAACTCGGGGGATTATAACACTAAAGTTCGGGGTTTAATCTCTACGACAGACACAGCACACATGCTCCCCCACCCCATAAAACAAACAAACAAACTTACTCTGGATAATTCGAATGTTTTATTTTCAGAATATCTTTAGTTTATAAAAATCCACCAATATTATAATCTGATAGGTAAAAATATTGAAAGCTGTACGACATGATTGGTGTCATTCTTTTAATCGGACTGTCGTTAGACATCAGTAACTCTTAGCTTTAGTTTTTATTCCAAGTTTGTGTGAGTCTGAAGACTCACAACTACCAGGTGAAATCCATTCTTTATCAAACAAAGCAGGGATTAAAGCGGAGTCAGGTAACATCTAAAGATCAGTGGGTTACATATCATCAGCTTAGAACTACTTTTATATATTCATAACCTTTTGTGTTCGAAATAAGAATTGTGAATTTTCGGTCAGCCGTCTTTGACACTAAGAAAAGTGATCATTTATCATCACTTATATTGAATAGAAAGTATTGGCCTGGGACTGACGGTGTTTTTTTTTTTGTAATTGGCCCGGAACTGACGATGTTTTTCTGTTACACTTGTGTATGCTATTACCCTCTTTCGTAATACGTACGAACCTTTGATGGCACTAATTTGTTAATTGTAGTATGGATTTATTTGTACTCGCTAACAAAGAGTACAAACAAAGAATTACGAAAAAAAATAAGTAAGTACAATCTATTTCACGTATAAACCTTTAAGACTAATTCTTATTCACGCTTGTTAAATACATGAAAAAAGCCGATATAATTTATAAGTTGTTAATCATTTGGAATATCACATTATAATTATTACGACTAGAAACGACCGTTAAAACTGAAACTACTAGACCATAAGTGAGATTCATGAGAAGAGAGGCAGAAACCTATGTTTCTAAGAATATAATTAAAAACAAACATTTACCAGCCAAAGCCGCAGATCTTAAATTTGATATAATTCAAGTCCTTCAGTATCTTTTTTTTGTAAACATTGCCGACAGATGGAGTCACGTAAAAGTAGAGTAATATTTATTATTTTTGCCTCGTGTTCCCATGCAGAATTGACCTCGTTGCGCCAACATCCATGATGTTTATTTTACGTTGGGAAGAGTCTTTGAATCTGGTCTGTTTGTCACATAACTTATGAGACTGATTTCGACCTTAACGGAATGTCTGCTCTTACCGTTTTAATCTAAACAAAAGTTTACTCGTTTGTGAATTTATAATTTTTCAATTCTGCTTTGAAACTTAGTTCGACATTGACATGCCCGGTTGATGTAAACATTTTACTGTTGATTTAAATACTTTCATTATGCTCCTTTAATTTCTATAAACACGAAATAAAAAATAAAATTATAAAATATTCCTGCTTTCCGGAAAGTCTATATTTGGCAATGATGTTAACAACCTTGGATGAGTCAACAAACACGTAAAAATTTAAAACATCTGACATCTTTATTTTTCACTTTTGAATCACGAAGACGTGACCATTTTTTTTGTAAACCTATAGAAATTGTTTTACTAAAAAAACCTTTTGAATTTGCTATGTTGCTTAGTACAAAGACACTGTCAGGAGTTATGGTTAAAAAGATACTGTTAGGAGTTATGGTTAAAAGGTTAGTGTTAGGAGTTATGGTTAAAAAGATACTGTTAGGAGTTATGGTTAAAAAGTTAGTGTTAGGAGTTATGGTTAAAAAGATACTGTTAGGAGTTATGTTAAAAAGCAATATTTATTTCAGTTTTAGGTTTACATTTTCATATATAAGTAGACAAAAGCACAATACTAAAACAACAATAGCAGATATCCCCCCTCCACCACCACCAACAACAGGAAGTACACATGTATATTGTACTCAACAACAACAACAGGAAGTACACATGTATATTGTACCCAACAACAACAACAGGAAGTACACATATCTATTGTACCCAACAACAACAACAGGAAGTACACATGTATATTGTACTCAACAACAACAACAGGAAGTACACATATCTATTGTACCCAACAACAACAACAGGAAGTACACATGTATATTGTACTCAACAACAACAACAGGAAGTACACATGTATATTGTACCCAACAACAACAACATGAAGTACACATGTATATTGTACCCAACAACAACAACAACAGGAAGTACTCATATATATTGTATCATCCAAAGGCAATTATTCCTATCAGAAATCGGACGAGCTTGCATGGGTAAAGCATATAGCAATTATATTATATTCATAGTTACACCAAACAATTGAACACATTTTTCAGTAATGTTTTGCAACGTGACAGGAACTTAATTAAAACCTTGCTTTCCACACTCAATAATGAAATATTTGTTTGTATAATATATAAACTATTCATATTTTCCTCAGGGAAGAATGTTGGAAATTCTTACAACTGTCATTTATGTTTGAAGAAATATTTAATCTAATACTACTTTCATAATGGGAATTTGATCAGGAATCCTTCCATATGAAGTGTTAGTGACTAAACCATGCTTGCGTAAGCATAGGCACACAGTCCGTATTAAGTGACAGTTTGGCTGGTTTATAGTATATATGTATCTGGAACTGGTTTACAGTATATATGTATCTG